CTCCATGGTCAATTCCCACAGGGACAGTTCATAGCCAGAGCTTGGAGTGCAGGAGGAAACCGTGTTCTCCTTATGTGTCGCTTCTCACTCAAACTGTTTTAATGCTTTTATTCTTTTTATTCTTAAACCTGCAATCTGAAATTCACTCGTGCAGGTATTAACGAGCTGCTGATCACTCTGCCTCTCTTTTCTGCCCTTGTTCAGAGTCTCAGATTTACAGCTCTAGTTCAGGCTGGAATTACTGACACTGTAATGATCTGTTTTATCTCTCTATCTATTATTTGTCAAATAATTTTAACATGACTGTGCTTACAAGTGCTGTCAGATATCCTCCAAACAGAGAGGAGGATGAGAAGTCATTGGCCTTTTCAAGTGTGACCCTGGTCGTGTTGCTTTGTTTCCAGGACTCAACAAAAATGACCTTTCCCATTGCCTGTCAAGTTGTGACCCAGGTGTGAGGGTTTGAGAGCCCCAGGAGCCAGACAAGGCACATTTCAGTCCTGCTGGTTTGCTCTTGTTTTCTCCATTAACAGATATTGGGCTGAAAACCAGGGAGGGGAAGGGAAAGAGGTTGAGGGCAAGGTAAGCAATGCTGCCTCGCTGCCTGTTTCTGATCCTCAGGTTACAGCACAAGCTAAATAGACTACACTAAATTTTTTAGGCTGTTTTCACAGACTTACAGACTTTGATCCCCAGCTTTGATTTCCCAGGCGGCACCTGGGGAGTCAGAACCAGCAGAGCTCTGGTTCTGAGCAGAGGAGAGACCCATTAAGGCCGGTGATTATCATGCCTTTGCACCAGCAGCGGGGCTTTCATCAGAGCTCAGCTCTGCAGCCTGGGCCCCTGTGCCAGGGAGGTGCCAGGGCAGGAGGAGCGTTGTGCCAGTGCCCAGGCAGGGGCAGCCCCTCCAGCCCACTCCTTCCACACCTCTGCTTGCTCCTTCCCCACCTGGCTTCAGCAGCATGCCCAGGAGAGGAGGTGACCCTTTCTTTCCCAAGGTCTCATGCAGTTTCTGCAACAAGCAGGCCATGAAATAAATATTCTGTGTGTGTCCTTGTCAGAGCAGTAGAGATGAGGGCATTTGCCTGCCTGCCCTGCTCTGTGCCTCCAAGTCTCCCTCTGCACCACTTGGCTTGCTTGGTTTCTTTTTTTTTTGGGTTTTTTTTTTTTTTAATTTAAATCTAATTTTGCTGCCTTATTGTAAGTTCCCACCTAACTCCAGAGCTGCTGTCGCCTCAGGGCTGTGTTGCTGCTTTTCAGTCTTCCCACACCCATCGCATGTGCAGTCTGCAAAAACTTTGAGAAGTCTCTCCTAAATTTGTGCACTTGGGGTCGTCCTAGGAGGAGTGGAACAGGGGGAGCTCTTCAAGAACCCCTTCATCTGCAAAGTGGGAGCTGCTTCCATGCCGTGAGTTGTCAGTGGCAATGGCACAGAGTGCGGGTGGCGTGGCTGGGAGGCACAAGGAGCTCAGATGTGCAGCGAGGGGATCTGGAGGGGATGTGCTGTGACCCCACAGCCAGGCTGGGCCCCCCTGGATAATCTGGGGCTGTTTAGCACACAGGGGTCTCTTTTGGGAAGCTGCGTGGGGCTTGTGTTGAGTCCCTGTTCCTCCCCCGGGACAGGGGCTGGTCAACCCCATCAGTGCAGCACACCCAAATCTGTGCCACCACTGCAGCATTGTGGGATGTCACCATAGGCTGGCCCAGCCTCTGACTCCTTTTTCAGTGAATTTTGTTGCAGGTGCCACCATCCTGTCTCCATTAGCAGATTAGCACAGTTGAATTTCCCATGCGAGCGCTCCACAGTCTGTCTCATTGTGTTTATTTTGTTCAGGCTGCTTTTCCCTGGGCTTGACAGTGTAATTTGTACAGATCTCTGCTGAGTTTTCCAAACCTTCAAAAGAGCTTTTTTGTTAGCTTGAAACCAGGGCCATTGATAGCAGAGAAAGAGCATCAGGAGCACTGAGAAGCGAGCGGCACACCCACCAGCCTGGAAGGCTCCCTCACCTCCAGAGTTGCTCCTTGGCAAAAGCTCCATGGTTCAGAGATTTTAATTAGATCAAATCCTCCAGGTGACCAGCCAAGCATTGAAGGCATACCAATTTCTCAGTTGTGTCTCTTGCTGTAAGAGTTTTTATTATTTATTTTAGAGAGATGTGACAAAAGAGCTTGGATATCCCAAATGTGCCGTTCTCCTTGAATGGCACCAGGAGGTCCCCAGCCCAGGGGATTGTCCTTTCAGTGCACTTTTACTCAGCAAAGTGCCTTCCTGCAAGCTGCTCCTGCACCTGCTCTAGTCTCCATTGCCCAGAGGGACTTGCACGTGAAACGGCGTCAGATTTTTGGACCACATGCTGTTGGGGCCATGGCGGTGGCAGCAGGTTGGGCTGGAGTTGAATGAGAGCCCTGGTTGTGAGCTGGGGCAAGTGGCCTTGGGCCCAGGAGTGGCCTGGGGACAGCTGAAGTTTTAGGGCTTGTGCTGTTTGCCTCTGCTGACTGCCCAGATCCGTGCCCAGCCCATTCAGAGATGCCATCGATGGCTCGGTGCACAACATACTGGGGTGGAAAATCGCATCCTGTTTTTGCAGGAGGAGACTCTGCTGCCCCTCCTGGCATGGGGAGGCTGGGGATGGACAGGGTAGATGTGTCAGGTCCCAGCTGACCCAGCAGAAGCTGGTTTGCTTCCAGGGATGCTGTGGGGCTGGTACATGGGGGTCTGAGAATTGCTCTGCCAAAATCTCATCTGCAGGAGGATCCCGGAGCTCCTGGGTTTGTTCTTTCTCCCTCCTGCCCTGTCTGGGCAGCTGACAGATGCCCCCACCTCGGCAGGGTGCCAGTGCCATGGCTGTGCCTGGATGTCTCTGCAGCAGGCGGGTGAGGAAGGAGAAATCAAAGGTGGCTTTCAGCAAACCCCCTTTTCCTGCCCTGAGGTCAGCTTGGTATTGCCAGATGGGAAGCCCCACACCAGATCTGCTCTGAGCCATGGTTTTAACTCCAAGCTGCTGCTTGCCCAGCTCCTTTTGTCTCTGATTTTGTTTCATTATGACCCTGCCTGCCTCTGTCTGTCTTATTTCAGGGAGGGGCTGGGCCGTGGCTGCTTGTCTTGGTTTGAAAATGCCAGGTGTCTGCTAAGGAAGGCAGAAACGTCTCTTGAAATAAACAAAAATGTAAACCACCCCTCTCCCCTTCAAAATATTATAATCTTGAAATCAAGGTGCTCTCAGGCAAAAATATGGGAATAGGAATAACAGTTCTTTACTAAGGAAATGTTGGGCAGGGTGTTGGTAGCACTTTGGTTAAATGGTGGCTGCAGTCCCTGCAGTGTCAGGTGTGGTGCTGCTGGAGCAGAGATCCCATAGAAGGGTGTAGGTTTCCTCTGAAGGTCTGGTGCTGTAGCTGGGTCTGTTTTTCCTCTGGGCTCCAGTGGAGAACGGCTGCCTGCGGTGTTCCGAGTCTCAGATTGTATCCAGGTGGGAATGCTTGGCTGCTCCCCTGGGTGGAGCATCTCCCAGTGGGATGATGTCATTTTATCAGTCCTGCAGCCAGACTCGAGGGCCCATTGACAGAAGAGATCCCCCGGAGGGAGGATGGGTGGTGGGGGAGATGAAGAGCACTGCCACAGCTGGTGACAGAACACAGGTTTTGGTTACATTTCGCACTGCAACCCAAGCGCTGCTGCAGCAGCTCCCTGGCAGCAGTGAGAGCTGTGGCTGAGGTGCTGCAGCAGGGGCAGGGACCTCTGGCAGGGGCAGTTGTGGCTCAGACAGCTGGCACGCTGAGCCCTGACTGTGAAAGCCCTGCCAAGGAGGGAGCCTGGAGCCTCTGACACTTCCACCGCCTTCCCAGGCGTGCCAGAAGTGGGCTTGCAATGTGCCAGCATGGATGGGGACATGGTCTGTCTGTGTGTCTGATTGTCCCTGGGCAGCTGCTGGCATCCTGATCTGAGGTTACAGCCTGTCCTGGCAGGCAGAAGGGTGCATTTATCCACAGTAGTCCTTGGAGAGGAGCTCTTGCTGTGGGAGGTGTGTGGGTGATCAGCACGCTCGCAGCAAGTGAGGGGAGGGGGAAGCAGGAACTGGAATATGGAGGCTGCTCAGGAGTGGATGTGATGTGGAGTGAGAGGATTCACAGAGCCAGGGAGCCACAGGGGAGGGCTCCTTGCCAGGGGAAGCCAGGTGGGATGGGGGGTGTGGTGGGAAGGCCCAGGTGACCCAGTGTGCCCTCCCCACCCCTGCTGCCTTCACTTCAGGGGTGTTTGAGGTGGCTGCAGGGTTTGTACCTTCTCCAAAACCATGAGCCAGGACTGGTGGGAGCTGGGGCATTTTCTTTTGGATCAGGCTGTTCATGTCCACTGTGGGGTGGAAATAGAATTAAATAGAATCACTGAGGTTGGAAAAGCCCTCCCAGCCCATGGAGTCCCAGCTGTGCCCCATCCCCACCTTGTCCCCAGCCCAGAGCACTCAGTGCCACCTCCAGCCCTTCCTGGGACACCTCCAGGGATGGGGATCCAAACCTCCCTGGGCAGTTCCAATCCCTGAGCTCCCTTTCCATGGGGAAATTCCTGCTGCTGTCCACCCTGAGCCTCCCCTGGCCCAGCCTGAGGCCGTTCCCTCTCCTCCTGTCCCTGTTCCCTGGCAGCAGAGCCCGACCCCCCGGCTGTCCCCTCCTGCCAGGGACTTGTGCAGAGCCAGAAGGGCCCCCTGAGCCTCCTTTTCTCCAGGCTGAGCCCCTTTCCAGCTCCCTCAGCCCCTCCTGGGGCTCCAGCCCCTTCCCAGCTCCGTTCCCTGCCCTGGACACGCTCCAGCCCCTCCAGGGCTCTCTCACAGTTTGGTGCCCAGAACTGGACACAGCCCTCGAGGTGCTCCAGCAGGGCCAGCACAGGGGACAGGCACTGTCCTGGCCCTGCTGTCACCCCAGGGCTGGCACAAGCCAGAGCAGGGTCCCTCCCTCCTTGCCCTGCCCCTCTGTTGGTGACCTGCCTTTTGCTTTCATCCCTGCAGCAACCCCAGAGTGCAGATCGAAGCCATCGAGGGTGGTGCCCTGCAGAAGCTCCTGGTTATCCTGGCCACAGAACAGCCCCTGGCTGTCAGGAAGAAGGTAAGGAGTGGGGCTGCACCTCTGAGTTTGTGCTGAGTTCTGCAAAAACACCTCCAGGATATCAGGGACATCTGAAGAGTGTGGGACCCCCTCTGCTCCCCTCGCTGGCTGGGCTTCACTCCCAGGGGAGCAGGAAGGGGGGCCCTGGATGCCAAACCAGCCCAGCAGCACTGGAGCCCTCACCCCCTGGCTCTGGGGGTGACCCCCAGTGCCTGCAGTGGCTCTCACGGGCACAGGGCTGCAGCTCCCGGGGGCACAGCGAGGGTCCCTGTGGCAGCACAGCCATCACAGGCTGACAAACACAGGAGCTGACGTTTGGAGGAGCTAATTGCTGCAGCCAGCCCTGTGTCCTGCCTTTGGCAGAGGCTTTGGAACAAGGAGCAGCACCGAGAGCCCCCAGCCAAATGTGCAGTGCTGTCCATCGGGCTGGGGGCTTCCTTGCCCTCTCCCCCTCTCTCTCCCTGCCTTCCGTGCTGTATTCCCTGGAGCATGAGATCCCATTACCTTCACTTTGGCCTGTGGTGCCACCTCTGTAACATCACCTGGCTGCTCCCAAGCCCCCAGCCCTGTTTTCCACAGGAACCTCTTGCACGAGGGGTCTGACAGGGTGGGGGAACCGCTGGCTCTTCCATTCACCTGTAATGAGCTCCTTAAAATGCGTTCCCCTTTAACCCTGGCGAGAGTCCTCCAGCAAGTGAAAGGCACAGGAGAAGGCTGTGGAACCCGCTTGCATTTGGCCGTGGATGTGAGATCCCACGGGATGCTCCGGGCTCAGAAACTCCTCCCAGGAGTGCCTGTGGCTCAACCTTTAGCTCCTTTTGGGCTGGGGAGGGACGTGCAGGGGCTCTCACAGCACTGCTGTGAATCCTTTCCAGTGAACCTGAGTGCACCGTGCTGGCAGCCCCTGGAGAAAGGAGAGGGGTGGGCTCAGTATTGCCCACTCCACACACAGCTGTACGAGACCCTCCAAGGGCTGTACTCTCTTTTCCAGGAGGTCAGAGGTTTTCATTTCCAGCTCCTGTGCTGTGTACAGTGTCCTGTGTGTCCAGACTGGATCCCAAGGGCAGCCCCAGCCCCTTCCTGCACATGGCAGCAGCCCCAGGCTCCCGCTGCCGTGGATTTTCCGCCCCGGTGCTCAGAGCCCTGCACTGCAGCGAGGCCAAAAGTGCATTCCTTCCCTCCGCCTTCCTCTGGCCTACGATTAAAAAGGGAGACAGCAGCATCTCAAATGCACCAGCAGCAAGGCGGAGAATGGAAATAGGGAGGAATGGGAGCGGGGAGGACGCGGCTGTCAGCTCAGATCTGTCCGTGCGGAGCGGGCACGGCCCAGCCCGTGTGTGAGGAACCCGGCGTGTGCCCTGCTCCAGGCCAGCCTGTGCCACCACGGCTGCCAGAGCCACCCAGCGGGACAGGCTGGTCCCCAATTGTCCCCTGGCTCCAAGCCGAGCCCCGGACACCGCTGGGTGCTGGCTGTTGGCACGTGGGGCTGCACCCTGCCGGGACCTGGGTGCTGGGGGACATCGTGGCCTTGTCCCCTGACTGTGCAGGTGTGGGGACATCACCCCTGACATCCAGATCATTCATAGGGATCAGGCTGTGCTGGGTGGTGCTGGACGCTCCTCACCCCATCCTGTGGGCTCGGTGCCTGTGTGTGGGTGAGCAGGGGGAACTGATGGGGCTGGGTCTGTCAGGGGCTGCCACAGTGACAGCCCAGCCTGGGTTTGGATGGAAGCACCCAAGGTCTGGCAGCCTCACAGTGCTGGGGAGGGTTGGGATTGCAAACAGGACTGCTGGATATGTCCCTCAGCAAGGAGAGGTTGGGATGTATTCTCCATGGAGCTCTGCAGATGGGCTGGATGTTTCTGCTGTCCCCACTGCTGCCATGAAGAGGGGCTGTGCCACACGGGGTGGCCATGGCCACCATCCTCATTGGCCTCTCTGTCTCCACCAGGCTCTCTTCGCTCTGTCCTCCATGCTGAGGCACTTCCCCTATGCCCAGCAGCAGTTCCTCAAGCTGGGTGGCCTCCAGGTGCTCAGGAGCCTCTTCAGGCAGAAGGGGATGGAGCCCCTCCACGTCCGTGTGGTGACGCTGCTCTACGACCTCATCATGGAGAAGGTGAGAGCTGGGATGGCACCTGGGCAGGCACTCCCACCTTCACCCCCAAACCCAGCCAGGCCTGAACATCCTCACGGGACGAGGATGAGGAGGAGCCAGCCCAGCATCAGTGGGGATGAGTCCCCTGCAGCCCCTTGCCCAACACCACACGAGTGCCTGGGGGAGCCCAGAGAAGTTGAAACCTTTGTTGGCCTTCAAGCCAGTGCCACCATTCCCTCCCAAGGGTGTTTAAACAGCAGGACACGAGTAGGGAATGCTGGCCTTGGGTTGTGGTGTCCAGCCAAGGCCAGGGGACAGGCCAGCCCTGCTGTGTCCCTTTGCCTGCTGCACGTCCCTCACTGGAGCCCAGCCCGCCACGTTCCCTGTTTTATTTTCAAATACCCTGGATTACTGCTGTAAGTGTCAGTTTAAAGCCTGTCTTTCCTTGCCATGGCTTGTTGTTCAGTCTGTGCATTTCCCTGACTCCAGAGAATGGGAATTAAATCCACTCTGGCTCAGTTTATGGCCAATTTGCCCTGTGGATTATGGCTGCTCTAATACCTGGGTTGCAGGCACGGCAGAGCAGCACCTCTCTGTTAAATCACTTATTGTCCAGGAGACTTTGTAAAGGTGCAAATTATTTTAGCAGGTCTGAAATCTTATCAGGTGCTGACTGTAACATGATCCTGTCAGCTCTGTGGGAAAGGAGCAGAGAAGGGCATTTTGACTCAACCCATTCCCATTCCCATTCCCATTCCCATTCCCATTCCCATTCCCATTCCCATTCCCATTCCCATTCCCATTCCCATTCCCATTCCCATTCCCATTCCCCTTCCCATTCCCATTCCCATTCAATCCTGCTGCTCATTTCCAGCTGCCCCCTCTGGCAGCCCCATCTGGTCCCTCCTCCATGGGTCTGGGGCAGGCACAACCTGGCAGATCCCCGGGTTTGTGTTAAAACAACGATTTTTAGCTGCTCTTTGGATTGGGAATGCTGTACCCTGGGTGCTGGGGGCTGCTCTGAGCTGCCTTGGCAGGTTTGGGATGGGCTGGGTGATGTTCAGGTGGGTTGGTTTGGAATAATAAACCACCCTGGCAGCTCTCAGTGTGGAACAGGAGTCACTGGGGCTGGCCTCTCTCGCTGGAAGGGGTCCAGCCCCCTGCAGAATTTCAGTGCTGGGGTTTTCTGGACAAGGCTGGGAGGGGAAGGTCTGGCTGTGGCTGGAGGAGATGGAGATCCCCATCTCTGGGAGGAGCAGCATGGAGCCAAGTGATGATGTTCATTAGGTGCTGCAGGCACCTGTCAGCAGCAAAAGGCAAAGGACCAGAGACTTTACAAGTGCTGCTGAGCTTCCTGCCCCCGAGTCCCCTCCCAGGCTGTGTGACACAGAAACCCCCAGTCACTGGGAGATTTCCAGGACGGACAGACAGCCCCTGGCCAGGGAGCCAGGACACAACCTCAGTCTGGTTCTCTGTGGCAAGTCCATGGCAGGTGGTACAGGACATTCATCCTCCTCTACTGTGCCAGCTCCTGGGAGCAGTCCCTCTCTGACAGGGACATTAATCTGCGTTCCACCACTTCCCACAGATGCTGCTTGAGGACCCGCAGCACGGAGAGCAGATGGAGGAGAAAATCCAGCAGTACCGGCAGGTCAGGCTGGTGCCGGCGGTGGTGGAGCAGGGCTGGTGCTCCCTGGTACCCAACCTGCTGGCCATGCCCGAGCATGACACCCGGGAAAAGGTCCTCAAGCTGGTGGGGGTCCTGGTGGCCTTCTGCAGGGAGCACTACCGGGGGGACCCCGCGCTGGGCACCACCCTCAGCCTCCTGCGCAGCGAGTACGAGGAGCTGGCGGCCGAGGAGCAGAGGGAAGGGGACAAGGACAGCTACTTCAGGGAGCTCCTGGGCTCTATAAACACCATCATCCAGGAGCTGAGGTGAAACCGTGGGTTCAGTCCAGTTCCAGGGAATTTGGGGTGGCAGCAAGTTTGGATGGCAGCGGTGTAGGTGCACTTTGGAATAAACTGCTGGATGAGACGAGCTCCCAGCACTGTGTGCCAATAACTTGGTTATTAAAGTATATTGGGGCGTGGGGAATGGCTTGTTTTCATGGAATACCGCTGGAAAAACAGGTGTACAGTGGAGGAACAAGCTGAGGGCTCAGCTGGGGAATTTGGGGTTTGCAGAAGGGGAACAAGCGGTGTTCCCTTGGGGGGCTGTGTTTGTGTCACCCCCAGGAGGGGATGTTTGAATCCCAGCACTCCCTCCAGGCCTGGCAGAGCCCAGCTGGTCACTTCCATCCCCCAGTCCTTGCAGGGCTCTGCCACCACCAGGGATGGGCACAAAGGCCACCAGATCCCCCCTGTGACCCTGAAGCCACTGGGCTCTAATATTTGTGGCTCCCACGTACAGTGTGTCACTTGTTACTGTTAAGTAGCAGGGCTAATTATTGATTCTCTTTTGAGCTTTCTCTTTTTGGGGTTTGTTCAGACTGTTTTTGCTGGCATTAATTTTATGTTTTTTCCCTATTTTTATCTGAAACGCTTTTCCCAGCCAGCCTTGCCAAAGCTTCGCTTTGTAGGCTTTAAAAAAAATAAAATATATCTGATGGCAACAAGTCAGAATAAGCATGGGAAGGGGCTTTTCTGCTGCAAACCTGAGCCTCTGGAACGATGGCAGGTGAAGCAGGGATCCAGGAGTGGGGGGATCAGCACAGGGATTTCTCAGGCCCTGCCTGGCCTTGTCACTGTGTCACACTGGATTTGAGGTGGGGATTGTCTAACACCTCCTTAGGGGATGAGCCAGGGAGAAAACCACCAGCAGCCCTCCCTGTCCAACCCCAAAACCAAAACCCCACTCACTCTTTCTTAAAGTCCTGACAAGATTTTGAGCAGGGGCTCTCTGGGGCCTGTGCTGGTCCTGGGGATGGAGGGGTGCCCGTGGGCCTCTGGGACAGCTCAGGAGGGAGCAGGTGCTGGCTCCTGGCCAGTGCCAACAGTGCCAGCCCTGGGACAGCCCCTGTGGCCTGGGATGGCAGCAGGAGGTGCCTGTGTCCCTGGCAAGGTCCTGGTGACCCTCCCAGGCTGTTTCCCGCACACCGGCACAGTGACACAGCCAAGGATGTGGAGCACTGAAAGGAGGCCAAGAAATGAAAACAAAGAAGAGTTTCCTGGCAGTGCTGCTCATGGGCACTGGGCCCTGGCTGGGCACTCGTGGGCCAGAGGCTGGGTGAGGTCCTGGGCAGTGCTGGTGCTCAGGGTCCCCACATCCACCCCGTGTCCCCCTGCCCAGGGGGCTCCGGGCTCTGCAGGGGGATCACCCAAGGAGGGGTGGCCAGAGGGGACCCCTGGGCTGCAGCCACCTCCTCTCTGCAGCTCCTGCAGGTCTCAGGGGTCCTGTCTGAGCACTGGCAGTGCAGCCATGGCACTTGCAGGGCACTCACTGCACCATGGGCAGCGTGGCCAAGGCTCAGCCGGGGGGGCTGCACCCCAAAGAGGAGCGTCCTTCCTCCGTCTGCAGGCCATGTGTCCCCAGAGGGTGACACAGAAGGGCAGGCGAGTCCTGGGCTGCTTTCCCTGGCCACAAATGCCAGCCCAGGCCGGTGTCCCCACTAATGACAGGTTTGTTTCCCAAGTGGTGCTGCTGGTCCACAGCCCGGGGTAAAGACAGGGCTGCTGTGGCTGCCTGACCCTCCCCTGGCAGGGATGGGGACAGGGACAGGGTCAGGGCTGAACCTGTCCGGCCCCAGCCCCTGTGCAGAGCCACAGGCAGGGCTGGAGGAGCCCCAGGGGTTGGGGGGGGTCCTGGGGCAGATGGAAACCTTGGTTAGGGCTCACTGGACCCTCTCCCAGTGCAGCTCTGGGAGGTGGGATGGGCACTTCCATCCTTAATTTTGGAGCTAAAAGGGTCCCCTCATTCCTCCAGCTATGAGGGGAGGTCAGGCTAAGCACTGGAGTCAGAGCTGGCCAGGCCAGGAACAGCTCCTTCTCCTTCCCCTGCACCCACAAGAGCATCAGGGGGGCTGTGCTGGCTCAGTCTGGGCTCCCCAAAGCCTGGCACCCTTAGGCAGGGAGTGCTCGGGGCAGAGCCCACAGTGTGTGTCTCCCCAGCCTCCCCCATCCACAGCAGCACTGGAGCAGCTGATGTCCCTTAAAGGATTTTTCCTTTTCTCACCCGTTTGTTGGGGTTTTGGATGCACTCGCCCCTCCCCACCCTCTCTGCTCTCTCCTCAAGTTGTGAGGTTGAGGTTTGGCAGCCGTGGCCTGGTTTGGACCCGTGCAAGCACACACGGCTCGGGGTGCCCTGCTCCCCTCTCCTGGCACATCCCAGAGGCAGTGAGAGCAGGGAGGGCTGCAGTGGGAAAGGCGCTCATTAACGGGCATTAAATCGTGGCACGGAACTTCACACACAATTAAAGCGGCATAAATTCAACGTGGCTCCATTCACCACGGAATTGAATTAAGAGCACTTGAAATCTGGAATAAGACTTATCTCCTGAGGATTTAATGTGGTTTCACTAATACACTTTAGAAGATAACGTGGGTTCATCTTCCTGAGCTCCCTGCACTGCCAGGTCTGCCAGGCTCTGGCTCAGCCTCAGTGGAGCTGCTGTCCCACTGTACTGCAAAAAAACCCCCAAATCTCTTCAAAAAACCCCCAAACCCTCCAGCAAGCAGTCTGGCTGTTGCAGGCAGTGCCTGGGGAGCAGCCGTGGGAAGCCGGCGGGCAGGGAAATCCCACAGCCTCGGTGGGTCCCCGCATCCCCACGGAGGGCTGGATTGGGCGGTGGGGTCTGGCTCCTCGCCCACCGCCGGGGGAAGCGGCTGGAGCATCCCCGGAGCTCTCCCTGCCCGTCCGAGCCCAGCGTCGTCCTCCGGCACGAGCCCTTCCCCAGCGCTTAATTACACGGAGCAGTAATTGCTGTAATTCTCCTCAATTGGCTCCCTAATAAAGTCGCAGCTTCGCTGGCGGCCGGACCCCCTCGCTGAGCCGCTGCTCCAGCGCTGCTTTCCCACGCAGGGCTGGAATTCCCTGGCACGGTGGGATCGGAGCTTTGGGGTTTTTGAACTCCTGACCCACCCGGCTCTTGGGCTGGTGCTGAACAACCCGGAGGGGCTGGAGCAGGGACAGGAGCTGGGGATGGAGCTGGGGCTGGAGTGGGGACAGGAGCCAGGGATGGAGCCAGAGCCAGGGATGGAGCAGGGACAGGAGCCAGGGATGGAGCTGGGGATGGAGCAGGGACAGGAGCCAGGGATGGAGCTGGGGATGGAGCAGGGACAGGAGCCAGGGATGGAGCTGGGGATGGAGCAGGGACAGGAGCCAGGGATGGAGCTGGGGATGGAGCAGGGACAGGAGCCAGGGATGGAGCTGGGGATGGAGCAGGG